GTTGTGTTTTTTGTATTCATTCATATAACTAGAACTTTCTTTGTTTTTTTTTAAATTATTATTTTTCTTCTTTTTTATTATTTATTTCTTCTTCCTTTTTCGTATATATAATTTGTTAATTTTTTCTCTTTTGGATATCAACAATTTTATCTATTTTGTTTTCTTCATTATTATTCACTTTTGCTTTATTTTTCACTAAATCTTTCAATCTCTCTCCTGTTTTTGAATTTATCGTACATTCTTTTTTCATGTGGTTTGTTTCTCCACATTTCCTTTCCTTAGTTGTCCTCTAATTATTATCATTGTATTTTTTCCGTTCACTTTAATCATGTTTGGAATTTCTTTGGTTACTTCTATTAATAAAGTTCGATTTCCAGTGCAGCAATTTATTATGCCTTCTCCTGTCCCTATATCTTCTTGATACTTTATTATTTTACCATACTCTGACATTATTTTTCGTATTTGTTCTTCTGATGTCTCCCATTAGAAGGAGAAATTAATTCTTCAATTACCTTGAAATTAAATAGAAATGTGTTTTTTGGTTTAACACCCTTATTATATAGTTATTATAATAACTGTTTCAATAAAAATGTGTACCAGGAAAGCCTGGATTTTTAACTTGTTTATTTTGTTATGCAATCTATGTGTTCACTTCAAAAGTTTAACACAAACTTTCTGCTTAGAATTTTTGGAAGGAATATCGGTTTGAAGTTTTATATTGTCAATATGTGTTAGAATGTAATAAAGTGTGATGTCTGGCATTACAAGATAGACATGTTTCTTAGAATGGCACTAACTATTACGTTTACAATTACAATACAATTAGAACAGAGATTTAATCTTGTAATTGCCGACCATCTTTCATCTAGGTTTAATTATAGAAATTGTGAGCAGTTGCCTTGAACATAATTCTCCAACTTTTCCTGTAATTTTGTATCTAATTTTGATAAGGCGCTCGATGTTTTAGTAAGAATTTAGGTTTGGAAGATTTAATGCTTGTACAGCCGTGTCAAGTTTTTCAATGAAATATGCAACTGCGACTAGTTTCCCTGATAACGATTATATTGGTATTTTGTTTATTAGTGCATTCCATAAAATAAAATAATTATTGGAAGTTGCCCATTAAATATTGAAATTTAGATATCGAATCGAATCGAATTCGTGAATCTCGTGAATAAATATTTTAAATGTTTCGTAAAACAGTACAGGGTGCGGTATTCGTCATTCGCTCAGGTTGCGCTGGAAACTCTTTCTGTTGTAGCACTGAATTGAATTTTCTGGTTAACGGTAGAGGAGCAGGTGCCGGAATATAGACATTTTGTCTGGTTCTTGGCTTTCAGTTGTTCTCTTTTAGCTTTATTTTCGAGTAGTTTCGGACAAGATTTGAAATTTGTGGGATGGTTACCGAAACAATTAATGCACTGCGCTGGTTCTGTTTCGGTTTTGGGGCAGCTGAACCCCTTGTGGTTTTTGTACATTTCACGCTTCTATTCTGAAGGTTGCAGTAGAGGAAGTGTGACCAAAATTTTGACAGTTATAGCACTGTATAATATTTCCATTCGATCTATTTTATCCCATTTGACTGCGTACTCTGCTAAGTGATTTTTGTTTCTAGTACGATTCATATCCTGTTCATGATGATGAAAAAAAAAAACAAGTGCATGTCAGATTGAATTTTACGATTATTAAAATTGCATGAAAAGCTTACAAAAGTGTACAGATAATTAAATAATTGCTTACAAAAAACCATACATAATCGAGACTCTAATGTGCGTTTGTGGAATCAAAAAAATGTCTTACATTTCAATCAAGATATAGTAGCGAATATGGAATCGGACAGTAAACCATCAGAAATCCCAAAACTTCGAAAGACCGTTATTGGATCCAGCAAATACAGCAAGATACCTCGCGAAGAGGTCGGACCAATATGTTTACATCGGAAAAGGTCTCGCTGCGTTCAACTTCATCAGTTTCTGACTCAAGACAGGAAGTAATATCATCTAGTAATAGTGCATCTACAAGCCTCACTCAACCACATTCTGATGTCAAGAAACCTCCTAATTCATGGCAAGTAGTCAATTTCAAAAAAAGAAAAACTTCATTTGAACCATTAGGAATAGATGTCAAAATTCAAACAGATTTTCGCCCTTTCAACACTAGAAACAGCTAATGATGACAACTCAGTTAAACCGGCTCCAGTCAGTAAGCCCCCTCCAATATTTATTTACGGAGTTGACGATATTAATGATATGTCTAATCAATTAAATGAAATAATTCCGCACGATCAATATTTCCTGAGAAGTTTAGCTAACAATACATTTAAAATTCTATGTAATTCTGTCGACCATTTTCGAACTTTATCCAGACATCTAAAAGAAACTAATGCCGTATATCATACATATCAATTAAAGAAGAGAAGGCTTATAGGGTTGTTCTTAGAAATGTACACTTTTCAACAAGCACAGATGCAATTAAATTAGAACTATTAAAACAGGGTCATGTAGTACGTAATATCCTAAATATAGACATAGAATAACAAAAGAACCTCTTAATATGTTTTGTTGATCTGGAACCAATAGAAATAACAAAATATTTATAACATTTATAAATTATTCAACTGCATAATACGCGTCGAACCACCGAGAAAGTCCAACAACATTATACAATGCACTCGCTGTCAACTCTTTAATCACAAACCAAAAATACTGCAATAGACCATTTGCTTGCCTAAAATGCGGTGACAATCATAATACTAATGCTTGTACCAAAGATCCGAATGCTCCCGGCATGTTGTTATTTTTGCGACGGTGCTCATCCAGCTAATTATCGGCGGTTGCTCATACTTCCAAAAAATTAAAGAACAAAGAAACAAAACTCCAGTAAATCAATCAGTCATAAATCCAAATACAAATAACCAAAATTTTAAAATTCTAATAATTCTATATTCTAATAATAAATAAACAACATTTTCTCCGGCCTTAAATCCAACAATTCAAAATTCATCCTATGCAGACATTGCAAAAAACAATCTATTACTCTACTGCTTCTAATCATTCATCACCTTCAAATCCCTCCGATTCGATTCTCTAGCAACACTTATTTAGAATTTAAAAATATCTTCAATCAGCTTTTGCAACAGAACACCATAATAATAAATATGTTATCCACGTTAGTCAACAACAAAAGCAATGGCAAAAATAATTAAAATTGCTGAATGGAATGCCAACGGTTTAATACCTCACAAAAATGAAGTAGAATGTTTTTTTAAAGTTAAACTTAATAGATATCTTATTAATCTCAGAAACTCACTTCACTGAAAAAAAACTACTTAAAATTTATAACTACACTACTTATAATTCAAATCACCCAAGT